AGCCAGCTTTCCCAACACCATTTATTGAACAGGGAATCATTTCCCCATTGCTTGTTTTTGTCTGGTTTGTCAAAGATCAGATGGTTGTAGATATGTTGTGTTGTCTCCGAGACCTCTGTTCTGTTCCATTCGTCTATATGTCTGTTTTGGTACCAGTACCATGCTGTTTTCATTACTGTAGCCTTGTAGTATAGTTTGAAATCCAGTAGTGTGATGCCTCCAGGTTTGTTCTTTTTGTTTAGAATTGACTTGGCTATGCAGGCTCTCTTTTGGTTCCATATGAAGTTTAAGGTGGTTTTTTCCAGTTCTGTGAAGAAGGTCATTGGTAGCTTGATGGGGATAGCATTGAATCTGTAAATTTCTCTGGGCAGTATGGCCATTTTCACGATGTTGATTCTTCCTAACCATGAACATGGAATGTTTCTCCATCTGTTTGTGTCCTCTCTTATTTCGTTGAGCAGTGGCTTGTAGTTCTCCTTGAAGAGGTCCTTTATGTTCCTTGTTAATGGTATTCCTAGGTATTTTATTCTCTTTGTGGCAATTGTGAATGGAAGTTTGTTCTTGATTTGGCTCTCTTTAAGTCTGTTATTGGTGTATAGGAATGCATGTGATTTTTGCACATTGATTTTGTATCCTGAGACACTGAACTTGCTTATCAGTTTCAGGAGATTTGGGGCTGAGACGATGGGGTCTTCTAGATATACAATCATGTCATCTGCAAATAGAGACAATTTGACTTCCTCCTTTCCTATTTGAATGTCCTTTATTTCTTTTTCTTGCCTGATTGCTCTGGCTAGAACTTCCAGTACTATATTGAATAGGAGTGGTGAGAGAGGGCATCCTTGTTTAGTTCCAGATTTCAAAGGGAATGCTTCCAGTTTTTGCCCATTCAGTATGATATTGGCTGTTGGTTTGTCATAAATAGCTTTTATTATTTTGAGATACGTTCCGTCAATACCTAGTTTATTGAGGGTTTTTAGCATAAAGAGCTGTTGAATTTTGTCAAAGGCCTTCTCTGAATCAATTGAGATAATCATGTGGTTTTTGCCTTTGGTTCTGTTTATGTGGTGTATTACGTTTATAGACTTGCGTATGTTGAACCAGCCTTGCATCCCCGGGATGAAGCCTACTTGATCATGGTGGATAAGGTTTTTGATGTGCTGTTGCAATCGGTTTGCCAGTATTTTATTGAAGATTTTTGCATCTATGTTCATCGTGGATATTGGCCTGAAGTTTTCTTTTCTTGTTGAGTCTCTGCCGGGTTTTGGTATCAGGATGATGTTGGTCTCATAAAATGATTTGGGAAGAATTCCCTCTTTTTGGATTGTTTGGAATAGTTTCAGAAGGAATGGTACCAGCTCCTCTTTGTATGTCTGATAGAATTTGGCTGTGAACCCGTCTGGACCTGGGCTTTTTTTGGGTGGTAGGCTATTAATTGCTGCCTCAACTTCAGACCTTGTTATGGGTCTGTTCAGGGTTTCGGCTTCTTCCTGGTTTAGGCTTGGGAGGAGGCAAGTGTCCAGGAATTTATCCATTTCTTCCAGGTTTACTAGTTTATGTTCATAGAGTTGTTTGTAATAATCTCTGATGATGCTTTGAATTTCTGTGGAATCTTTGGTGATATCCCCTTTATCGTTTTTTATTGTGTCAATTTGGTTATTCTCTCTTTTCTTTTTTATTAATCTGGCTAGTGGTCTGTCTATTTTGTTGATCTTTTCAAAAAACCAGCTCCTGGATTTATTGATTTTTTGAAGGGTTTTTTGTGTCTCTATCTCCTTCAGTTCTGCTCTGATCTAAGCTATTTCTTGTCTTCTGCTAGGTTTTGAGTTTTTTTGATCTTGCTCCTCTAGCTCTTTCAATTTTGACTATAGGGTGTCAATTTTTGATCTCTCCTTGCTTCTCATGTGGGCACTTATTGCTATATATTTTCCTCTAGAGATTGCTTTAAATGTGTCCCAGAGATTCTGGTATGTTGTGTCCTCATTCTGGTTGGTTTTGAAGAACATCTTTATTTCTGCCTTCATTTCATTGTTTATCCAGTCAACATTGAAGAGCAAGTTGTTCAGTTTCCATGAAGCTGTGTGGGTCTGAGTTAGTTTTTGAATTCTGAGTTCTAACTTGATTGCACTGTGGTCTGAGATACTGTTTGTTATGATTTTCGTTCTTTTGCATTTGCTGAGGAGTGATTTACTCCCAATTATGTGGTCAATTTTGGAGTAGGTGTGATGTGGTGCTGAGAAGAATGTATATTCTGTGGATTTGGGGTGGAGAGCTCTGTAAATGTCTAGTAGGTTAGCTTGGTCCAGGTCTGAGTTCAAGTCCTGGATATCCTTGTTAATTTTCTGTCTGGTTGATCTGTCTAATATTGACAATGGGGTGTTAAAGTCACCCACTATAATTGTGTGGGAGTCTAAGTCTCTTTTTAAGTCATTAAGAACTTGCCTTATGTATCTGGGTGCTCCTGTATTGGGTGCGTATATATTTAGGATCGTTAGCTCTTCTTGTTGCATTGATCCTTTTACCATTATGTAATGTCCTTCTTTGTCTCTTTTGATCTTTGTTGCTTTAAAGTCTATTTTATCAGAGATGAGAATTGCAACTCCTGCTTTTTTTTGCTCTCCATTTGCTTGGTAAATCTTCCTCTATCCCTTTATTTTGAGCCTTTGAGTATCCTTGCATGTGAGATGGGTTTCCTGGATACAGCACACTGATGAGTTTTGGCTTTTTATCCAATTTGCCAGTCTGTGTCTTTTGATTGGGGCATTTAGTCCATTTACATTTAGGATTAATATTGTTTTGTGTGAATTTGATACCCCCATTTTGTTGCTAGCTGGCTCTTTTGCCCATTAGTTGATGCAGTTTCTTCATTGCGTTGATGCTTTTTGCCATTTGGCATGTTTTTGGAGTGGCTGGTACTGGTTGTTCCTTTATATGTGTAGAGCCTCTTTCAGGAGCTCTTGTAAAGCAGGCCTGGTGGTAATGAAAGCTCTGAGTACTTTCTTGTTTTCAAAGGATTTTATTTTTTCTTCACTTATGAAGCTTAGTTTGGCTTTATATGTGATTCTGGGTTGAAAGTTCTTTTCTTTAAGGATGTTGAATATTGGCCCCCACTCTCTTCTGGCTTGTAGACTTTCTGCTGAGAGATCTGCTGTGAGTCTGAATGGGCTTCCCTTTGTGGGTAACCCGACCTTTTTCTCTGGCTGCCCTTAGCATTTTCTCCTTCATTTCAACCCTGGTGAATCTGACAATTATGTGCCTTGGGTTTGCTCTTTGCAAAGAATATCTTTGTGTTGTTCTTTGTATTTCCTGGACTTGAATATTGGCCTGCTTTGCTAGGTTGGGGACGTTTTCCTGGATAATATCCTGAAGAGTATTTTCCAGCTTGGATTCATTCTCTTTGTTGCATTCAGGTACACCTATCAAACGTAGATTAGGTCTTTTCACATAGTCCCACATTTCTTGGAGACTTTGTTCATTCCTTTTTACCCTTTTTTCTCTAATCCTGCCTTCTCATTTTATTTCATTGAGTTGATCTTCGACCTCTGATATCCTTTCTTCTGCTTGGTCAATTCGGCTGTTGAAACTTGTGTATACTTTGTGAAATTCTCGTTTCGTTTTTTTCAGCTCCATCAGTTCACTCATATTCCTTTCTAAGTTGTCCATTCTCGTTAGCATTTTGTCAAATCTTTTTTCAAGGTTCTTAGTTTCTTTGCATTGGGTTACAACATGTTCTTTTAGTTCACAGAAGTTTCTTACTACCTACCTTCTGAGGTCTGATTCTGTCATTTCATCACACTCATTCTCCATCCAACCTTGTTCCTTTGCTGGTGAGGAGTTGTGATTCCTTGTAGGAGGAGAGATGTTCTGGTTTCTGGTGTTTTCATCCTTATTGCGCTGGTTTCTTCCCATCTTTATGGATTTATCTACCTGTCGTCTTTGTAGTTGCTGACTTTCTGATTGGGTCTCTGAGTGGATGTCTAGTTTGTTGATGATGAAGTTATTTCTGTTTCTTAGTTTTCCTTCTAACAGTCTGGCCCCTCTGCTGTAGGACTACTAAGGTTCACTCCAGGCCCTGCTTGCCTGGGGATCACCTGCAGCAGCTGCAGAACAGTAAGGGTTGCTACCAGTTTTCTTCTTCTGCTATCTTTGTCCCAGAAGGATACCTGCCAAATGTCAGTCTGATCTCTCCTTTATGAGGTGACTCTTTGGATATACAGGGGTCAGGGAGCTGCTTGAGGAGACAGTCTGTCTTTTACAGGAGTTCAAGTGCTGAGCTCTGAGCTTCATTGTTCATTCAGAGCTGCTGGGCAGGTACGTTTAGGTCTGCTGCAGCAGAACTCATAAACCACTTTTTGTTCCCAGGTGCTCTGTCCCAGGGAGTTAAGGCTTTATTTGTGAGTTTCCGTTGTGCTGCTGCCTTTTTCTTTTTTTTCAGGGCTTCCCTGCCCAGCAAGGAGGCAGCCTAGTCACTGTCTGCCTGCAGAGGTTTTGCTGAGCTGCTGTGGGCTCCGCCCAGCTGCCCTATGAACTTCCCTGCAGTCCTTTTTATATGGGTGTAGTTAGAACTGCCTCAGCAATGGTGGCCTGCCTCTGTATTTGTGGACTCTCTCTGTAATGCCAGGTTGCCTCGGCAACGGCGGGTCGCCTTGGCAATGGCAGGCAGCCTCAGCAATGGTGGGTTGCCTTGGCAACAGCAGGCTGCCTCAGCAATGGCAGACTACCTCCTTATTGGTGGAGTGCCTCGGTAATGGCGGACTCCCCTCCCCCACAGAGCTGGACCATCCCACGTTCAGCTGCACTTGCTGTGAAATTCTCAATCCAGAGAGTTTCTGATTGCTGTTCTTTTGTGGGGGTGGGACCAGCCGAGCCTGATCACCTGGCTCCCTGCCTCAGAGCCTTTTTTTTTTTTTTTTTCTTTTTTATCCCTGGTGTTCCAGTCGCCTGTTGAAAGGGCGCCGGCATCTGTTTCCTGTGCGGCAACCTACTGCGCCGGCTTAAACAGCGGTGCTGAGATTTGTGGTGCGTTTTTTGCTCAGGAATCTCCTGGCCTGGCTCTCTGTTCAGTCCCCTCTTTAATCAGATGAATGTGTGGCTTCCTGGGGCTTCAATCGCCAGCCAAAAAGGCGCCAGACCAGTGTATTTTGTACGGAGAACTGCCAGCAGGGCCTCTGACAAAGCAGTGCCAACAAAGGGGCTGCTTTGCCTCACCCACTGAAAGAATGGCGCCAGCCAAAACAGCCTCACTGGCGACCTGTGGGTCTCCTCCGCCTGGGAATCTCCTTGTCTGTGGGCTATAAAAATGCGGGCTCCACTCACCCTCTGCACTTTCACTGGGAGCTGCAACTCAGAGCTGTTTCTAAATGGCCATCTTGGATCAAACCCCTCCTTTTTTAAAAAATTTATTTTATTGCATTTTAGGTTTTGGGGTACATGTGAAGAACATGCAAGATTGTTGCATAGGTACACACGTGGCAGTGTGATTTGCTGCCTTCCTCCCCATCACCTATATCTGGCATTTCTCCCCATGCTCTCTCTCCCCAACTCCCCACCCCCCACCGTCTCTCCCCTATTTCCCCCCAACAGACCCCAGTGTGTAGTGCTCCCCTCCCTGTGTCCATGTGTTCTCATTGTTCAACACCTGCCTATGGGTGAGAACATGCGGTGTTTGATTTTCTGCTCTTGTGTCAGTTTGCTGAGAATGATGGTTTCCAGGTTCATCCATGTCCCTACAAAGGACATGAACTCATCGTTTTTGATGGCTGCATAATATTCCATGGTGTATATGTGACACATTTTCCCTGTCCAGTCTATCATCGATGGGCATTTGGGTTGTTTCCAGGTCTTTATTTCTAGGTCCTTATTCTCTTGCTGTTTTTTATAATTCTTTTCAGCTTTGACTTTTGACAATTTGATTATAATATGCTTCAGAGAAAATGTTTTTGGATTGAATCTATTTGAGAAGTTTGAGTTTCCTGTATCTGAATGTCTATATCTCTCACAATACTTTGGAAGTTTTCAGCTATTATCTGTTACATAGATTTTTCTATGACTTTTCACATTTGTCTCTTTCTGGAACTCTCAAAATTCAAATATTTGTTTACTTTATGGTGTCCCATATGTCATACATGCTTTCTTTATTCTTAAAAAAATTTTTTTTTCAGGCTGAGTTATTTTAAAAGACATGGCTTCAAGTTCAGGAATTCTTTCTTCTGCTTGATCTAGTCTATTTTTGAAGCTCTTGTATTTTTTTTTTCCCTTTTGTTCATTGAATTATTCAGGTCCAGGATTTTCATTTTTAAAAATAATACCTATCTCTTTATTGAATTTCTCATTCATACCATGATTTGTTTTTTTCTGATTTCCTTGTATTGTCTATCTGTGTTCTCTTGCATGTTGTTGATGTTCCTAAAGATCATTGTTTTGAATTCCTCTTCAAACAATCCATAGATTTCTTTTTCTTTGGGATCTGTTACTAGAGGATTATTGCATTTCTTTGGAGATATTATGTTCTCTTGCTTATTAATGTTTTCTGTGTTTTTGCACTCTGTGCATCTGGTGTAACGGTTCCTTCTTTCAATTTTATGCATTGGCTTTTATAGGGAAATACTTTTTCCAATAAATGTATCTCTAGTGTTGATTGGGTAGGGTGCTTTGGCTTTGATTCTGGGTAGGTGCAGTAGTGTAGTCTTCATATGCTTTCTTTGGCTGTAATCAATGTCAGTGTTGTCTGAAGGTTCCTCAATGGTATAGCCTGTTGTTGTTAGTAAAGGCTGTGGTAAGGTTTTCCTGGGAAGGTAAAGGCTGTGGTAAGGTTTTTCTGGGGATAGAGACATCAAGTGGCCTCACCTTTGGGCGCTTGGGTGATGCACACGGGCACCAGTATTGGTGGCTATGGGCTATATCGGTCAGTACTCAGTCCTCTAGATGGTATACACAAACACTGATAGTGGCAGGTGGAGGACCTGAATAGGCCAGTATTTGGCCTCCCAGGTGGTGTGTGTTGGCCATAGCAGTAGGTTTGGCGGGCCAGTCCTTTGGCCCTTGGATGATGTATGTGGCATTGGCAGTGCCAGTAGCAGTGGTGAGCCAGCCTTTAGACCCCCAAGTAGCATGCATGGGCCCTGCTGGTGGCAGTAGTGAACTGGGCTGGCTGGAATCTGGGCCCCTGGGCAGTGTGTGTAGGTGCCAGTGGCAGCCGCGATGGGCAGGGTAAAGTAAATTATTTTACTACTACTTGTTATCTTCAATATTTGGAGTAAGTTCTAGGTCAATTTTCCTTATACAGAGTTTACATTAGCTTCAGATGGACACATACATGGAAGTATGATAAAATGAAAAAAAAACCTAAAATGCTCATTTATGTGTAATAAAAACCCTACAAGTTGGTATGATTCTTTGCAGATGGCAGATCACTTTTCAACCATCATTTTGTTTATTTTCCAACTTATTTTAAGGAATATGTTATTCTTATTTAATGAAAATATACTTTATTAGAAAAATTGTTGTCAAATGATGAAAATGAATGTGTTTATGAGGAAATTATGGGCTAAGCATGGTGGCTTATGTCTGCAATCCCAACACTTTGTGAGGCCAAAGCAGGAGGCTTGCTTGAAGCCAGAAGTTTGAGACCAGTCTGGCAACATAGAGAGACCCCCATCTCTACAAAAGGTTTAAAAAAATTAGTTGGGCATGGTAGTGTGTGCCTGTAGTTCTAGCTAATCTGAAGATTGAGGCAGGAGGATCACTTGAGCCCAAGAGCTCGAGGATGCAATGAGCTACGATCCCACCACTGCACTACAACCTGGGCAACAGAGAGAGACATTGTCTCTGAAACAGAAAAAGAAAAGAAAAGAAATTATATGCATTTTCTTTTTGATTTTTTAAAAATCATACTTTAAGTTCTGGGGTACATGTGCAGATTGTGCAGCTTCGTTACATAGGTATACATGTGCCATGGTGGTGGTTTGCTGCATCCATTGCTCTGTCATCTACATTAGGTATTTCTCCTAATGCTATTCCTCCCCAATGCCCCCACACCCTGCTATTCCTCCCCTAGCCCTCCACCCGCCAGGCCCTGGTGTGTGATGTTGCCCTCCCTGTGTCTATGTGTTCTCATAATTTAACAAAGGCTATTTATGGATGATGGATCCATAGAAGATTTTTTTTAACATTTTCTGAATATATCAAATTGTCTAGAATAAACATGAAACTTCACAATTAGAAGAATGTAAAAAATGAAGAGGTTATGACACAGAGTGATCAGATAATGAGTGTAAGCACATTGTGAATTGGCAGCTGAGGGATTTTTACCCTCTCCTGGAGTGATTTTTATGGAGTGGTACAAATCTGTCCCCAGTGACTGGCTCCTCCCTGAGGTCCCATGACATTGTCCTCATGTGTGTCACCTTCTTATCTGCTTGCTGCATCTTTGCCTTTTATTTGTTGTTGTTCAGTCTTTTCATACGAGTGACAAAAAGGATACTGGAACAGGCTTGGTGGGAAGGGGAAGGAACCCATCATGAGGCAGAGACAGTAGAAGAGGGTGTGAAATAACATGAAGAACTTTCTGACTTCACCATGGACCCTGGAGGGCTGGCCATCCAAGAGGGTGCCGTATGAAGGTTTCATAGGGAGATCCAAAAAACTAAGGTTTTAAAGAGAGAAACACAGGATCTCAGGTGTAACTCTGTGTGGGAATCACAGCTAATTGCTCATGTGCTCTAAAGGGAAAACCTGTGATTATGGTAGAGGGGAGTTGTCTCCTTGTAGTGTCCGTTTTGCCATGAATTTCCAGGCCTCACTTATTTCAGGTCAGGGACTCCTGGGCAATCCAGAGGAAAATGTGCAAGGAAGGGTGATTGAACAGTTACTGCAAATCAGCTCAAAACATACGTCAAAAAAGGTGGAACCTGAAATAACAAATACAGATTAGTAGTTCTGTCTTCCTTTGAGATTCTGATTTGATAGGTCTAGGTTGGGTCACAGGAATCTGTATTTTTTAATCATCTAACCATTACTATTAATTATGAGATTTCCTTCAACTTTAAAACATGTTATTTACTATGGTTTCTAACATATCTGACTCCTTGTGGTTCCTAATGGTAAAAAAAAATTTTAGGAAACTAAAAGGAATCTCTGGGTTTGTCTCAGAGATGAGAGAACAGGAAGATCCTGGGAAACGGTGTTTCTTGTTCTAATCTAGTCTGGGTCCAGAGCTTCAGTAGCTCAAATCCACTGGGGGCAATTTGAGTCAAAAAGAGAATGTCTTTTCTTGCTGTTCTCCTGTCCGCTCTGTGTGGGAGTTGAACACTGATGTTTTGTTTCTGTCCCAACAGAACCAGCGGGAGCCTGTGTCAGGAGAACATGTCAAAGCAGAGCTGCCAGATGCCAGAACTGCGGCTCCTCCTCCTGGGGAAAAGCCGCTCAGGAAAAAGTGCCACAGGAAATGCCATTTTGGGCAAAGATGTGTTCGCATCCAACTTCAATGATCAGATAGTGACCAAAATGTGCCAGAGAGAAAGTCAGGTCCTGAGAGAAAGGAAGGTTGTGGTCATTAATACCCCTGACCTTTTCTCCCCAGTAGCTTGTGCTGAAGACAAGCAACGCAACATCCAACACTGCCTGGAGCTCTCTGCCCCCAGCCTCCATGCCTTGCTCTTGGTAATTACCATAGGCCATTTCACAAGGGAGGATGAGGAAACGGTCATGGGCATCCAACAAATGTTTGGAGCTGAAGCCAGGAGGCATATCATTATTGTCTTCACCCAGAAGGATGATTTGGGGGATGACTTGCTGCAAGATTTCATTAAAAACCACAAATCTCTCAAGCAGTTGGTTCAAGACTGTGGGGGCCGATACTGTATTTTCAACAAGGCTGTTACTAAGGATGAGCGAGTCAGCCAGGTGTCGGAGCTCCTTCACAAGGTCAAAGATTTGGTGAAAATGAACCGAGGACCCTATCATGTGAACCTCAAAACTGAAGGCAGCAGATTTCAAGTAAGAATTTTGTTTAATATCTCTAAAAATCTCTATGTTGCTGAAGCTAGTGGGATGAAAATGGGTACAAATAAATGAAATATTGCATTGTGTGATGCAACATGGGTTTTGTTTAATGAGATTTTGATACATAATTTGCAGGAATAAGAGGTATCAGATTGTAGGGTACTTTAAATATCAGCCTAAGGACTTTAGGCTTGATTAGCAAATTAATGGACAAATTTAACCCTTATCTTACTTGGTCCCTCATATCATTCAACGCAAGTGACGTGCTAGACTCTTTCTTCCCCTGGCTTTCATATAATTGTCCTCTCTTTGTTTATTTGTTTGATTCCTCTTTTTCTGGCTATTCCAAGGATGGCTGAGTCCTTCTCTAATCTCCGGCCTCTAAAAATGAGCATCCTCAGGGCTTGGTTCTGGCCTTCTTCAAATCTTTGTCCTCTCTTCTCAGATGATGCCACACTGTGTAGCGTTGAGCTTTATCTACTACTAACAGTTTTCAAATGAGTAGTAACTCTAGGCCAGGTCTGTCTTCTGAGTTCTTCCTCGTTTGCAAATTGCTGCTTGGCGTCTCCATGTGTCTCTGTTGTATTTTCTCACACTTAACATGTCCAAATTTTTGATCTTCCCTCTTAAATCTATAAGACTTCTGCCTCGTACCTCAGAAAAGGGCTGTGCTGTTCACCATGCTCTTTGTACCCACACCCCAATGCCAGCTCTGCTGCCCTGGTAGCTCTCCTTGGAGAGCCAAGAAATCATCAGGTCTTGCAGGATCAATATACCTGGAATCCACCTGCTTCTCTCCATCCCACTCCCACCGCCTGGTCCAAGCCAACATTGTTTCTTGCCTGGACTATTTTAACATAATGATTTTCTCCTCATATATTCTTGGGCTTTATCTGAAATCTCTTTCACATGTAACAGCCAGGGGGAGATTTTAATTAAGCTTTTGACGTGAAAGGAAAATGCATTTGTAACTAAGGAAGATACAAAAGTGCAGTCTTTTGCCTTAGAGGTGCTTATGCTTCAACTGGAGTGCCTGATGCATAAGAACAAAGCGCTCCCGGCTGAGGGTGAGGGGGATGCTGGCACAGAGGATTTGGCAAGGGGAAGCCCCAGAAAGGGTACAGCAGGCACATGCTGAGCCTGGGGGACATTCTGGTCAGAGAGAGACTTCTCAGAGGGGAAGAGTAATAAGCCCAAGCAGGATGGAAATAAGAGGGAAATCATTTACTGAGTGCCCACTAAATTCCAGACACAGATGAGAACTAACTAAGCCCTCACAACAACTGTATGGACAGATGCTCTATGTGTGAGGAAACTGAGGCTCAAGAGCACTGAAGGCACTTGCTCTCTTATTTCCTAGCCTGAACGCTCCCTCCTCTATGACAATCTGTCTCTTCCTTGAGGGCAGCATGGAACAGGGATGTCAGCAAAGAGAAGAATGGGCATGTAATAAGTTTCCTGTAATGAAACACTCTGGTTTAACATGCTCCGGTGACTGCCTGGTGATCATAAGGTAGAGTTCAGAATCCTTATTCGTCTTGGCTTCTTGCTCTGTGCTGTGCTGTCCATGCCTTGGTCCCTCTGGCCTTCCTGTTTGCCCCGGAGTTACACTCACATCCACTCCTGAGCCTCAAGCCTGCAATTCTCTCTGCACTGACACTTGCTCTCCCGGCTCCCACCCTGAACCAGGTTTGCTTTGATTTCTCCATCTGCATCAGCTCAAAGTCACTTCCTCAGGGAGTCCTCCCTGACCATCCTGACCCTCAGGCCTGGAATGAGCCCCACAGCTTCCTTTCCTCATGGCACCGTCACCACCATATCAAGTGATTTCACTGGTTGTTTCCCTACTAACTCCATGAGGACAGAAGAAACAGTATCTGTTTGGTTGACTACAGCATCTTAGTTTTGTCTTCTGTAAAGCAGAAATAATAATCACAGGTATCTCAGGAATTGCTATGAGAATTAAATGAAATGCTTACAAAGCTGTTAATGAACACTTGAAACTTGGCAGGTGTTCGGTAATTATTAGCTGTTATTATTATTATGATGAAAATGCCTGAGGATTAAATAAATTAAGGAGACATTTAGGATTTTAACAATCCAGAGACTGAGTCAGAGCCATACTTTTAGGACTCTATGCCCTGAACATAAAAAAAAAATAGTATAAATAAAGATATATGTACAAGCATAGGTAGCACAGGATCATTCGAAACAGTAAAACCAGAAATAACCTGAAGATTGATTAATAAAAAGATGGCCGCATCAGTTATGCATGTCCATACTATGGAATAAATTGTATGTACTTAAAGAATGCTGTAGATCTATCTATATTGACTCCTACAGATGTACAGAATGCATTACTAAGCAAATTGTAGAAAAAATAACCTAATAAGTCTCTATATGTTCATGTATGCTTGTATGTATTTGTATGAACATAGAAAAAGATAGAAGGATATATACCAGTTAACAATCATTACTTTTCTGGTGGAGTGGGAACACAAAGATCATTATTTTTATATGGCACACATTTACCTCGTAACAACATTTTGCATTTAAAGAACACTAAAGAATTTGAACTGGGCTGGGTAAGGTTAAAGAAATCTGATAATGACAGTTAAATGGAGAGGATGCAGGGAGCAGGAAGGTTGAAGGTATCAGTGATATTGAGCAAAGCCAGGCAAGAAAGCAGAGGGAAGGTTTCCTTGGCCAGCATGAAGTTTTAACAAAGACAATGTTAAAATGAAGTCTAGGAAGCTTCTAAGACTAGCAGGTTCACAAAATTGCATACCGATTATTCACTTCCTTTCTTGATTCCATGACAATAAATATTTTGGAACTGAGTATAAGGATTCCCCAGGAAGGAGAAGGGGATGTCATTATGTGTTTGGTCCTCTATCCTGTTGTCTCTATTTGCTGGACTTGGTGCAGGATGGGATTCCAAATGGTATTGGACTATTCACCTGAAATTAGAAGAAGCTTCCTCTCCATATTGGGAGCAGTGATGAAAGGAGAAGACTGCACCTCCTCTGGGAGCCAGTCACAGCAGCATCAGGGGGTCTAAACATCCACTGCCATCGTGGACAGGTCCACAAAGACTGACGAGGACCATGACCAGGGCCTTGATTTGACCGCATCTGAATTACATTCTGAATAACATACTTCAATTTCTTTCTTTCTTTTTTTCCCTTTACTTTGTGGAAGATGAGGTTTTAGATCTGTGTACACCATTTTTTCCTTTATTTTCTAGGACTCTGTGAATGAAGCTGCATCTCAAGAGGGAGACAAGCCACATGGTAAGTTGGTCTTTAAGAAACATTAAGCTGATGTTTCTTAAATTTTTCTTTCGAAGGCATTATACAGCCAAAGTGAAGCAGAAACATTATCCATATAAATCAGAACAAAAATTCACCCTGGGGACCTAGCTGAGGTTGGTGCCTGCAACCTGTCCCCCAGGGAAGTCCTAATACTTCTGAGTAGGTACAGCACCTGCAAAGGTCCTGGACCCACAGAGGGTGTCCTTGGACTTTTCTGAAGTGTTACAGAGCTGGGCTTGCCTCTTGTGTCTTTTCCTAACTCAGACTCTTCTTTCTGGCCTTGGGTCTGGCCCTGCCCAAGTTTTGACTCCTCTTAGGTAAGCAGAAATCACTCCTTCATGGACAACATGCAGAATTCTCTGATGGAGTGTGGTATCCATGCAATGGTTGCCAGCAATGATAGATCCTGCACATCTGCATAAGTCAATATGTATAGATCTACGTCTTTCTGTTTAGTAGATGCAGTTCATTACAGTGTGAACACACACAACAAATGCAACCGTGCCTTTACTGATGGATATGCGAGTTATTTCTGAGTCAGCTCTGTTCAAGCTCTGAGTGTCCAACTGTGAATAAGATAGACAAGATCCTTTTCCTCATGGAAATCTCCCAGATAATGAAATCATAATTTTAATAGTATTGATAATAATCGCAGCTGAGGCCAGGTGTGGTGGCTCATGCCTGTAATCCCAGCACTTCGGGAGGCCGAGGTGGGTGGATCACTTGATATAGCCAGGAGTTCAAGACCAGCCTGGTCAACATGGCAGAACCCTGTCTCTACTAAAAATACAAAAATTAGCCAGGCATGGTGGTGCATGCCTGTAGTTTCAGCTACGTGGGAGGCTGAGACATGAGAATCACTTGAACCTGGGAGCGCAAGGTTGCAGCGAGCTGAGATCTTGCCACTGCACTCCAGCCTGGGCAACAGCAAGACCCTGTCTCAAAAAAAAATTGCACTGACATTATGTTCTGGGAAATAACTTTTATATATATGTAATTCAATCTTCATAGTATATTCATATATAATCCTCTTAAAATACACAGTTCAGTTCTCATAACAACCCTGTAAAGAAGATGTCACGAGCCACATCCTCATTTCACAGCTGAGTGCTTTCAGGCCAGAAATATGTGAACTCAGGCAGAAGGTTTCAAAATTCTGGCAATGCCTTTTGGCTAAGACCTCCAGGAACACATGTGTGGCTGAACAAAATTGGGTTTATTGACCTGTGGCTGTGAGGACCCAGCACACTATGGGGAGTCATAGGGAATGTCAGAAAGAGGGAGCTGGGAAGGACTTTTTATAGGATGTGGGCTCATGTTAGGTGATTTTGAGGAAGGTTCCAGGCAGTGGGACTTTGCTCCGGGATGGATGCTCTTAGGAAGTGGGGCGTAGTTCCACAATGAAGTGTTTGAATAATTCTTCTGTCCAAGATGACAAGGGTGGAGTGAGGCTAAAGCTATCAGGAGGCAGCCTCATCCGTTTAGCCAGGGCAGGGAATATTCAGGCAGTGCTGTTGTTTTTATGTGCTCAGACATGATTGCAGAGTGGTTGTGGTTGTGCAAGGCTCGTGTCTGGTTTTCTGTAATATCGTGGATGGGGGGCTGAGCACAGTGGCTCACGCCTGTAATCCCAGCACTTTGGGAGGCTGAGGGGGGTAGATCATGAGGTCAGGAGTTCAAGACCAGCCTGGCCAAGTGGTAAAACCCTGTCTTTACTAAAAATACAAAAATTAGCTGGGCATAGTGGTGGGCGCCTGTAATCCCAGCTATTTGGGAGGCTGAGGCAGAGAACTGCTTGAACCTGGGAGGCAGAGGTTGCAGTGAGCCAAGATTGTGCCACTATACTCCAGCCTGGGTGACGGGAGGATGAGGGACAACAGGATGCCACGGCCTTGCTGTGGAGGCCAGACCAGCTCCTGGCTCTCAAGGGGTACTTATTATTCCTTCTCACTTTTACTTTTAACCACTACACTGTTTGGTCTCTCCAAATTGAAGAGAGCCTATATTCAAAATAAATAATAAATTATTATTTTCATAAGAATAGAGGAAATATACATGGTAGCTAATTTGTATGGTTTTGTGGGGAGCAACTTAGATGAAGCTCTCTTGAAGAAGTTATATTTGCACAGGAACATGAGCAGCCAGCAGGAGTTAGGGAGGGAGGCAAAAGTGCTGTCATATGAGCAAAAGTCCTGAAGGCTGCAAAGCAGGAGGTGGAAGTGTGAGGGAGGGAGGGGCACTTCCAGGCCTGACTCAAGTTCCTTCTTACCTGCAAAGCCTTCCTTGCACACTTCCGTGCCAACCAAGTACGAAGGGCTTTACAGGTGCTGTTTCCTTTAGTCTTTTCAACCTCAATGTGGGCATTAGATTCCCAGACTGCCAACATGGAAACAGATTTGCAAAGCAGTAAGTTTTCCAAGGCAACACAGTGAGGGCCTGGCGTCACTAGCATTTTTGCTGTCTTGGTTTGTGTTTAATACCGTGTCCACCCCACCTTCCCAACTTGCTGGTCAGACCATTCCCACGAAGGCTGTTGATGACTCAGCATCAGAGAATGCTCCCTGCGGTTGCTGACTCTCCATTTTGCTCAATACATAGGTCTGGTGTTGGTGTTGATGCTGGCCCAGCCAGGGGATGTGTGGAGAGATAGCTGTAGGGTGCAATTCTGTAGGTTTTTACAGCAATTTATTGAGGTATGATTTACATAGAATAAAATGCACAAATCTTAAGTAAACAGCTTGATGCCTTTTTCCATATCTATACATATGGGATCCCCATCCAGATAAAGATATAGAGCTTTTCCATCATCTTAGACATTCTTACTGCCCCTCACCACAGAGAACCACTGTTCAGACTTCTATCAACATAGATTAACTTGGTCTGTTCTTTTTTTTTATTGCATTTTGGGTTTTGGGGTACATGTGAAGAACATGCAAGACTGTGGCATAGGTACACACATGGCAGTGTGATTTGCTGCCTTCCTCCCCATCACCTATATCTGGCATTTCTCCCCATGCCATCTCTCCCCAACTCCCCACCCCCTACTGTCCCTCCGCTATTTCCCCCCAACAGACCCCAGTGTGTGATGCTCCCCTCCCTGTGTCCACGTGTTCTCATTGTTCAACACCCAACTGTGAGTGAGAACATGCGATGTTTGATTTTCTGTTCTTGTGTCAGTTTGCTGAGAATGATGGTTTCCAGGTTCATCCATGTCCCTACAAAGGACACGAACTCATCGTTTTTTTATGGCTGCATAGTATTCCATGGTGTAGATGTGCCACATTTTCCCTGTCCAGTCTATCATCAATGGGCATTTGGGTTGGTTCCAGGTCTTTGCTATTGTAAACAATGCTGCAATGAGCATTCGGGTCTGTTCTTTAACTTCATATGAAAAATCATATAGCATGCAGCTTTTGTGTCTTGCTTCTTTCACTTAGTGTGTGTTTTGAGATCCATTTATATTGCATATCACTAGTTCACATTTAAAAAAAAATTACTAAGTATTTGATTTTATCCCACCAAGGGACATTTGAAAATCAGATTCTCCCTAATCCTGCCTTAGCCCCTGGGCTTACCTTTGGTAAGCGACATACTTACCTTTGATAACAAAATGAAAGGAACCCCAAGGACCAAAGCTGATGAAGGCCAAAGTCGGCATGTTCATGTTCCTGGGGAATCTTAAGCTCCATGAATATCGCTTAATTCATTCCTGCCCCGTCTGTGGCTTTCACCTTGTTGGAGAGCTTCTGGCTGGGAGTAGAGCTCTACCAGGTTACAGTGTTTTGCCATTCTCTATACAAGTTGGCAGGAATGAGAAATCATAAAACCTGCCCACATCCATATTCAACTGCAGGAAAAGACTATGAACCTGTTCATTTGTCCCACAGGCCCAAGGGAGAGGCAGCTGCAGTCCAGAGGACCCGAACAGAATCCAGGGACATCAGAACTGACGGTCCTCCTTGTGGGGAAACGCGGTGCTGGAAAAAGTGCAGCAGGAAACAGCATTCTGGGGAGGCGGGCCTTTGACACCAGATTTAGTGAGCAGTCAGTAACCCAGAGCTTCTCGTCTGAGAGCAGAAGCTGGAGAAAAAAGAAAGTTTTGATCATTGATACTCCGGACATCTCCTGTTTAGGGAACATTGACTCAGAACTTAAAAAACACACCTATCCAGGCCCCCATGCCTTCCTGCTGGTGACACCACTGGGCTTTTACACTAAGGATGATGACGCAGTGCTGAACACCCTCCAAAGCAGTTTTGGAGAAAAATGCTTTGAGTATATGATCATACTCCTTACCAGGAAAGAAGATTTAGGGGATCAGGATCTAGAGAAGTTCTTAAGAAACAGCAATGAAGGTCTCTGTTGTCTCATCCAGAAATGTGAAAACAGATATAGTGCCTTCAACTACCGAGCAACAGCAGAAGAAGAGCAAAGGCAGGTGGACAAGCTCCTGCAAACAATTGACAGCATGGTGCATCAGAATGGGAACAAGCATTGTATTTTCAGAGAAAAAGGTAAAACTGTGAATAGAATATATATTTTTATATATATCACTAAAAATAGGTATAAAATACACAAGAACTTTTAATTTTCTAAAAGACATAGAGAAGACAGAAAGGACAGGTCTCCTGTTCCTGTGTTAATTTGGCCTTCAGCTCCATCTATGTTACTGCAAAGGACAGGTTTTCGTTTATTTTATGGCTGCATAGTATTCTATGCTGTATACGTACCTGCATCTAAAATAAAAGTTGAAATAAAAAAGAAAGGAAATTAAAACTGGCAGAAGGAAAAGGCAGGACAGGTCCGTTCTATGGACTCTTTTCTCTCTCTTTGTTTCTCAAATTGTACTCAAGTTATAGCCTTCCCTTGCACATTCTCTTGAACTGGTCTTTAATTTTTTCATGATTCTTATTATCTCTTCAACTGGATGGTTGGGTCTTGAGGAAAGGAGTTGACCCTTTCCAACCCTTTGTTTCCCC